AACACTGGCGCGGTGAAGACCCTGGGCAACACTTATCAGTTCACGGTGGACGTCAGTGACTTCGCCCCTGAGGACATCATCGTCACCACCTCCAACAACCAGATCGAGGTGCACGCCGAGAAGGTGGGCGCTCCCTCTCCCTTCCCCGCTCACCCCCAAAGCGTGAGGACCCCAAAATCTTCAACTGGGGGCCCCCCGACTCCCACCCAACTCCCTGACAGTCCTGGCCATAACCCTGGGGCGGTTCAATTCACAATTCCTTCGTTTTCTCATCCAACAACGAGCCCCCGTTGTGTCTGCACCCCAAAATCACCCTTTTTAACCCCTTTTTTTAATCCCAGCTGGCCGCAGACGGCACTGTCATGAACACCTTCACCCACAAATGCCAGCTGCCTGAAGACGTGGACCCCACATCGGTGTCATCCTCTCTGGGGGACAATGGCACGCTGACCATCCGGGCTCAGCGGCAGCCTGCCAAGCACACCGAACACGTCCAGCAAACCTTCCGGACTGAGATCAAGATCTGAGGGGTCGGGGTGGGGGGTCTCCTTTCTTTCCCCTCCCCACCTCGTTAATTATTTGGGTGATTTGGGAAGGAGGTGGGACGTGGGGTTGGGAATGCTCCCCCTGCGAGGTCAGACCCGTGTCGAGGGGCCAGTGTGGAGAGATGCATCCCATCACCCACTGGAGAAATTCCGGAGAGTCTGGGCTCCAGCGGGTTCTAGCCAGTGAGGGTTGACAGGGAAGATCCGGGCTTCCAAGAGCCCTGCTGGGAGCGATGTTCCCTTCCCTGACCCTCTGCCGGAGCTTATCTCTCTATATACAGCTCGTGATAAATTATTGAGAATGCCTGACTGCTGCCTCCTACTTTTTTTAATGTTTTCTTGATGCTTTTCCCTCAAAAGAGCTGTGGGTTCAGCCTCGAGGGGTCTCTTGGTAAAAGGTACCACAAACAATTCCTCCTTCCTGACAAAAACACGGACAAGATGCTGCCCTGGCTCCCCTCCAGTGCCCACAGCCCCATTTATTTCCAGCTTGGGGTGACTCATTTCTTCCCCGATGCTCTATTTCTGAGCCATTCCCTCAGCGGTTCGGCCGCCAGCCCACCTGGAAGGTCACCAAATCCTCCTCCTCCTCCCCTGGCCCATCCACATCCATGGCCCCCAGGGAAGCCCCGAGCAGCAGCACAAGCCGGGATGGGGGTCCCAGCCTGGCTGCCAAACCCAGGGGCTTCTTTTTGGGGACCTAAACACTCCCCTGAATGTCCCTGGAGGGCCCGGCTCCATCTCGCTGTGTGTACAAACAACAGTGACGCACCCATTCGGGCGAGCGGCTGTTTATAGCTACCACACGACGCCCAGCTCATGTTGCGGCTCCAGCTCCGAGGTCATCTCGTCCTCGCTTGTCCCTTAACGACTCATGACTTGCACTGACACACCTGCAGCGTCGGGGACACACACAAAGATGCAGCTCTTCCATCATCTCGAGTGGTTTGTTTAGCAGCACTGCCGGTCACTCAGGCGACTCCCTACCGCAGGACACTGTGAGGAAAAATGTTTAAAAGTTATTCAGAAAAGCCCCTAATGGCTACAAAAGCCCAAAGAACAGTTTAGGAAGTTGGAGCCATGGATGTGGGGAGCAGCGGCGATGCCCTGTTGTTGATTCTCCGCGATGGGATGTGTCCACTCTGCCCCAAAATGCCACCCCTGGGTGCCCAGGACACCCCAGCACCCAGGCAGCCACCCGCCGCGGTCACACATTGCCATCTAGTGGTGACAGGCTGGCGGGTGGCCCTCACCTATGAAACCCCAGCAAAAAACAGAAAAAAAACCCCAAACCTTTTTCTACCCAAAATCCAGCCGGTTTTGCACGGGGGATGATTTCTGAGCCAGGGAGTGGGTGAAAGGCCAGCTCAGAGCCCCAGCGCCAAACAAACCCAGAGCAGCTGTGGATGCCCCATCCCTGGAGGGGTTCAAGGCCAGGCTGGATGAGGCTTTGGGCAACCTGGGCTGGTGGGAGGTGTCCCTGCCCATGGCAGGGGGTGGCACTGGATGGGCTTTAAGGTCCCTTCCCACCCAAACTATTCTGCGATTCTATGAAACCCCGCAGCAGCTTGGCCCCACTATGGGCTCACTTTGGACAGGCAGGGAGGCCAAGGAAATAGGCCTAGGAATAACCCTTACTATGAGCTACAGTTTTTTGGTTTTTTGTTTTGTTGTTGGTTTTTGTTTTTTTTTTTTTAATTCTGAGCAGATGCAGTTCATTTAGAATGCAACAAACTAAAACAGCATTTCAAGTTACTCTTCCCAACCTGCATTAGCATGTGCCTATAAACATCACCAGAGAATCACAGAATCACAGAATGTTAGAGATTGGAAGGGACCTTGAAAGATCATCCAGTCTCATCCCCCTGCTGGAGCAGGAACACCCAGA